TGTGTGTGTGTATGTGTGTGTGTGTGTGTGTGTGTGTTAATCCGATATTTTTCGATTGATTTTTAGGGACAGTGGAAGAGAGAGGGACAGACAGTGAGAAACATTGATGTGAGAGAAACACATCGACTGGTTGCCTCCTGCACGAGCCCTGACCAGGGCCAGGTCGGGGAGGAGCCTGCAACCAAGGTACGGGCCCTTGATTATAATCAAACCCAGGAACCTTTGTTTCACATGCAGGCCGACGCTCTATCCATTGAGCCAAACTGGCTAGAGCTGATCCTTAGGTTTAATGTTTCAGTTACTTTTTTCAAGTTCTCATAACTTGGCAGTAGTTTAATGGCTGTTATCTGAGACCCTAAAATTCATCCAAGCTGTCCTCAGAGTCCCACAAGGCAGGGGAATGACTGTCTGAGTCAGAGACTGTGTCATCATCAGGTTCTTCTTCTTTAGCCAGAGGGGCTGAAGAGGGTTTCGGACACGCAGACACATAATTCTGGCCATACAAAAACCTCAGAGTTTCTTCTGTCTTCCACTCAATCAAAGTCTCCTTCAGAACTTGAAGTTTACCCTTGCAACTCCAGGCACTGAACTAAAAGCTAACCAAACTTGGTTTGATTTGGCAAATTTTCTCTTAAAATGCTCAGCACTTTTCTTACTTATGCCCACCAAGAGTTATTTATGAACTATTGTGTGTTTTTTTTCAGAAATTTCTGAAGCTTCTAATTTTTCTGGTAAAGGACTATTTGAAGGCATCTGAATATTTACTTTCTGTAAAAGAAGGTCGCAAGCAACAGCTTTCTCCTATCTAATCTGCAATTGCCTAACTGCTCAATAACATCTAATAATGTTTGCTCTTTGTTTTCTTGCTTGAAGTCAGTTTTTTGACCAGCTTTCTTTTTCATAATGCTGTGTGTGTGTGTGTGTGTGTGTGTGTGTGTGTGTGTGTGTGTTTGTATGTGTGTGAGAGAGATCAGTTGTGGCCTTCTACCCATTGCATTTGGTCTGTTTCCTGGTAGAATGGAGGAAACAAAGTCTTTCTCATTATCACTAACAATATCACTTGGAGTTCTAGAACAACTAGGCTCATACTGCTTCACAAAATGGCCAGGATTGCCAAGATCTGGTGTTTTAATGGCCTTATTGCATAACTGTACTTCTTGTCCAGAACGGCCACTTTGTACTTCTTTTAGCAGATGAAACTCAGGGTGCCTTTCTTCTTCTCGAACCCACACTGCAGTTTTAGGAATTTGTGCTTCACAAAATTTAGATGCTTGATAACAAAGATTGTTGCACAAATACTTTCATAGACCTTATTGGTTTGGGTAGACATGTTATCTCTCTGTTTTGGTACAATTCCTAGCTTCTTGTGACAATAAGGGCTAACCACAGAGCTTGATAATAAAACATTCATCCACGATATTGCTGTAATGAGCCAGTGTGATAAACCTCCCACACTCCTTTAAGAATTCTGTGATATTCTCTTCTACAATATGTAGAGCTTTTCTCTTAAACTCAGACTTCTTTCTCATAGTCTCTTCTAATTCTGCTTTTCTTTTAGAAGCACCTTGTTTCAAGTACTTGTCTGTGTAGTACCTGCACTAGACTCATCCATGGGGAACCTTGTCGTATGGTCAGTACTGACCCAGGTGACTCCCTCTGAGGTTCCACCTCCCCTAGCTTGGTGCCAGGGGAGCTGCAGGGACCAGGCGCGGAGAGACTAAATTCTTTATTGAGTCAATTCAACTTCTTTCTTTTTTTTATTTTAAAAGAATAAGCAATAACTTATCCAAGATTGTAATATTCTTAGTTATTTGCTATTGGATATCTGATTAAAACTAATGTTATACCTATCATCAGGATACTAGAGTCAATTCTTTTTTGTTTTTATTAATCCTTACCTGTGGATATTTTTCCATTGATTTTTTTTTTTAGACAGAATGGAAGGGAGGAGGAGAGACTGAGAGAGAGAAACATCGATATGAAAGAGACACATTGATTGGTTACCTCCCGCACACCCCTCGACGGGTCCGGGATCAAGTGTGCAACCAAGGTACCTACCCTTGACCAGAATTGAACTCTGGACCCTTTAGTCCGCAGGCCAACGCTCCAACCACAGAGCCAAACCAGCTAGGTCAGGGTCAATTCTTCAGTACAATTAAATATTTATATGCACAATGCTATCTCTACCTGGGTTCTGATTAATTTATTTCAAAGCTTAGTAAAAGAGTCCTGTGTTGATCTGATATTAACAATTCCCATTAGAGTTAAAGGTCTGCAATCAAAGGTCAAAATAACATTTTGGCCCTATTTTAGGCTCACTTTACATAATCTAATGTTCCTTTTCTGTAAGACCTTAAACATTTTTGAGCAACATTTGTCTTTTCCTCATGGAGGAACTATGGCTCTGAAAGACTACTTGCTTCTCAAAATTCACCCAACTATAGAGTTAGAGCCAGGAATTCACAGCAATCTCAGATCACAGTGGATCCCAAGGCAAATATTATGACTTGTTAGTTGTTTGTGCTGCGAATCTATTGAGCTGGGAGTGGGAGAATATGAAAAGGTAATTAATATTTGTTGAATGAAAGTGACTCAACATGAGGATGAAAATTGTGTTAGTTAATAAGTGTTAGGTTCAGTAACAGAAAAAAACAAAAAAAATACGACATATCATTTTAACTTTCTGTGTACCCCTTTATTTCAACAGCTTTTTATTCCTGGAAATTCAGGGTTGGGTCTTATCTCAAATCCTTAATGCTATTGTATAGAATAAAGGCCTCTTAAGAAAAGAAAGTCAAAGACACCCACCCCCTACTGCATCGCCTCTAGTGTCCAGGAAATAGTCATTGCTCATAAGTGTGTGACTAGACGTGGCCGTTATTTAACATCATTCCCCCAGACAACTCAGCCCAACCTGAAGGCACAATGGACCACTTTCTCTCCTCAGTGCTCCTGCCATGTTCTTCCTTCTCTCTGTAATACCACCACCCACCCTTACTGGAAAGGTTTTGTTACTATTTCTGTTTGCTTATTTTGTTGTGTCTGCTTTTCTTGTCACTCATGAAAATGAGTAAAATCAATTGCATTTAATTGTGAGGAAATGACAATTTTCAGTAAATGCCATCAAGTTCTAGAGCACTGATTGCTGAGCTATATCGTTCTTGCTGCACGCAGAGAAGAAGACCTGCAGCTCTGTGGCACTCCAGCATCCTGCTCTCATCCCTCAAGCAGCACCTCATCCAATCTCTCAGGCAGCCCATGGAGAGCACACTGGGGCAAGGTCACCAGAGCTCACTTGTCTCAATTGAGTCATGGTTATTTGTGAGAGTTTCCACATTATGTGCTGCATGTCACGGTGCCCCTTCTGTCACAGCGCCCCTTCCTTCCCATCGCTGAAAGAATAGTCTTAGATTTAACATCCTCATTTTCACACAAAACAGTTCTTTTCATCCCTTAAGATTCAGATAAAAATGCCCTTTCATTCTAGTACAGTGGTTCTCAACCTTCTGGCCCTTTAAATACAGTTCCTCATGTTGTGACCCAACCATAAAATTATTTTCGTTGCTACTTCATAACTGTAATGTTGCTACTGTTATGAATCTCAATGTAAATATCTGATATGCAGGATGGTCTTAGGCGACCCCTGTGAAAGGGTCGTTCGACCGCCAAAGGGGTAGCAACCCACAGGTTGAGGACTGCTGTTCTAGATTCTAAAGACCTGGAAGATTTTTCTGCTGTGATCTCAGAACACTTCACTTGCAGCCCTGTTTTATCCAGTCTCATGTAGCTGTCCTTTGTATCCATGTGTTTCTCAATTGATATTCAGCAACTTTAAATTAGATATAAGGTTTTCTCTTATTTCATCATCCTGTAATTCTACAGGGTGCCACCATGTGTTACCTAATAACAAAGAAGTCAGTTAAGACAGCTATGTGACTCAATATCACCCTAAAATCATATTAGCTGATTCTCTTGGGTTATGAATATCCAAAATTATATCTGCCTCACTTAATCTCAAGAAGAAAGGAAATTAGACTCTATTGTAAAGTATGTGAAACCAATTTTGGTGGATTAATTCCATTCAACCTAGTAGCCATTTTCATTGAAGTAAAATGGAGCAAAGCCAAATATGAAAAATTGCTTTATATTTTAATACCTGTGCTACTTAGTTGCTATATATATATATATATATATATATATATATATTGATTTCAGAGAGGAAAGGAGAGGAGAGAGAGATAGAAACATCAATGATTAGAGAGAATCATTGATCAACTGTCTCTGCAGGCCTCCTACTGGGAACTGAGCCTGCAACTCAGGCATATGCATGGGAATCTAACTGTGACCTCCTGATTCATAGGTCAACACCAAAGCACTGAGCCACACTGGGTGGGCTGTGTTTTGTTGTGTGCTTTTTTGTTTTTTTGATTTGTTTTTTTAACAGAACATCTCCCTAACCAAGGACAGAGTCAGTTTACTCCATTATTTTTAATTTTTCATTTCTTGATCATTGATTTTTTTGTTTTGTTTTGTTTTGTTTGCTCTTATTCACATAAAATCCCTCCTAATATACCAAATCCCAAAAAGACATTTTCCCTAAGGCAAGTATCATGCTATAAACTAGGTGTTGTAAAATCAAAGATATTGTAATAATATACTGGAAAGGAATTGTTTTAAGCTCAAAGTGCTTTGAGAACAAGTAAATGCATCTGCCTATAATTTTCATTCAGTCAATCTATTGTTCAGAGAAGTAGATGACAGTAAAAGCACCCTGTAAGTATTTTGTTCCGAAAAGGAGAGGAAACATAAGGCATCTGAGACTAGGGTAGGCTGACAAGTTGATTTAGTAGCACGGGGAACCTGCTGTTTTTCAGACAATTGCAATGGCTCTATTATATAATGGAACAATGATTTTCAAAGAGTTATGGTAAACACTTGCAGTAACAAAAATAGATTAATAAATTGATTAAGGAAAATAAAGCTTTTTCTAGAATTCTCACTTGGAGGGAGATCCTGCGTTTTGGGAATATGAAAATACTCCCTGAAGTGCCTCAGCTTGTCTTCCTCATCGAGACGGAGGGCGACCCTCTCATCTGTAGGGAGACATCGAAGTTCAGATGCCACGCGTTGCACTGTGTCAGCTGGTAACTCAAGAGGTAAAGGCTCCATTACAAGTTGTTCTCTAAAAACGAAAACAGAAATGAAAAATAATAAAGCCGCCATAATTTTCTGCAGAAAATTAGCCCTTTGAGTAAAACACCTTATGTTTTTAACTAAGAGCCCCATCTTCCCAACCTCAGAAATAATATTGTTACCTGAATAGCATTAAATTCTGTGCCTGAGTTTTTCTCATGTATCAAACCAAAAAAGAATAGTCCCTTAGGGATGTTGTAAGGTTTGAATTAGGCAATGGTACTTTCAATAAATGCTCGCTCTTTTTATTTTTATTTTATGGAAAAATGAACCAAATTAGTGACTGTCTAACATATATAAATAACTTCACCTTTTCCTCTAGATGCCACACTAGAAGGTAACAGTTAAAGATGCTTTTGGGAAAGTGTAGGGAACAGCACCCCACCTGGCTTGTCCTTCTCCCTATCCCACCTGCACTAGCCCACCTCAGTGACTCTTTGATGATAGTTTTAAAACTATGGAGATATATACAGTATAACCTTAATAAATTCTTTACTGTGAATGAAATGATGTTGATAAAAAGGGTGCTTTACTTTAAATAATATCAGTATTTTTTTTGGCATATGATGACCAAAGAAGCCTACTTCCTATTAATAATGAGAAACACCTCTTTCACTAGTATATATAACAAAACAGGACTTTGTGGTGTTTCTTGAAACCACATTCGACTCCTTTTAATCATCACTGAACACTCCCCACCTTTTTGGAAAGAAAACTTCATCTTTCTGAAGGGGATAAATAACAATGAAGATTTAAATTCATATTTAAACTTCACACAAATTTTATGTTTTCTATATTTCTCAAAGTTTTAGTTTTTTTCAAATTGAGTAGAATAGTCTTTGAGAGAAAAAGTGTTTTTTCCTCAGGCTAGTTTGATTGACCTATGTACACTTTTGCCTGTCTTTGCTTCCATATTCCTCCATTCATTTTCTTTTTCAATAAATATTTATTGAGCGCCTATCATGTTGCACCATGCACTGGTGGAACAGCAATTTCTAAGATAACATATAAGTAGTAACTCTTGTGGAGTTTACGTTTTAGGAGGCAGAATGAAAAATAATTAAATTGTGTAATAGCAGATAGTTTCAAGATCTATGAGTAACGGATAGAGAGTCACTGGGGTATGGAATAGTCAAGTGTACCTCTTTAGGGCAAGGCTATAGAGTCACTTCTGAATCACGTTATGGAGAAGAGCTGGACCTGGAGGAAAATAATAGCAAGTGCAAAGGCCCTGAGGACCTGACCTGTTCAACTAATGGACTAAGAGAACTAAGGGGAGGGAGAGACTATGATGCAAGAGAGACACTGGCAGAAATTATTCATGAAGAACTTGGAAGGCCATAAAGTTTAGATATTTTTTCTCAGTTAAATGGAAAAACATTGGAATATCTTGAGTAGAAAAATGATATGATATCATTTTGCATTAAATAAAAATCACCTTTTCTGCTCTCTGGTGAATTATTGTTTAACTGAGAGGTAAATTAAGGCTATTTTAACAGTTCAGGGGATAATAACAGTAGCTTAAATGTGGTGAGGGGAAAGGTAGCGAGAAATATCTGGATTTAATAATATATTTTGGGAACAAAAATCTAGAAAACCTATGGTAAAGACAGGAAAGTAGATAACTTTAAGCTTTGGGAGAAATTCCTAAAGAAATACCCAGGGAAGAAACATTGTGAGGAGGGAAATCAGAGTTCTATTTAGAACATGTTAAGTTTAAGATAAATACTGACCATCCAAGAAGTTTTCAAGCTGGCTCTTGAACATTTAAGCTCAAGGGAAAATTGGATCAGAAGACATATGTTTGATATTTTTCAACTCATAGAGTGTAGTGAAGACCTAAAATTCCTAGGCACCAACCTAAACAAACATAGATAAGGATCTAGAATACCAACTGAATTATCTTTCTTCCAATCTTCACTCTCTTTCCTCTTATCCTAACACACACAGTGTTAGGCAATAAAGAATAACATGTCTGAGTTTATACAATGCCAGTAAAACAAACATTCTTCCTATCCTCTAAGCTTACATTCTTCTGCTTACTTGACCTCTTCCTTTCTCAGTTGCCAATGGTCCTCCCTGATGAGCCATCCTTTATGTTCCCAGATAAGGATACTAAGCTTCACCTGAGCATAGTTTTTCGTTTTGATGCCAGTAATGCCTTTCAGTTGCTGCAGTTCATGGTTTTGAACAAAAGCCAATGATTTCCCCATTGATCTTGATGGTTCTTTCAATATCTGACCATATAAATTATTTGCTCTCTTCATGAAATTTTCTCTTTGTGATTTTTCTTATGCCATTTCCTTCCCTTCCCCCAAAATGTTCCGCTTCCCCTTGTACATATTCAGATCCTAGTCATCCTTCAATGTTCTAGCTCCAATGTGCCTTTTTCTTGAGGTCTGCCATGGTGTCTCAGCTAAAGTAGTCTTTCCTCCTCTGAACACCTATAAAACTTATGAGCACACATCTAGTAATAAACAATACATTCTGTCAGGTACTGTATTTATTTAGATATATATGTGGATGGGAAAGATCAAACATGCTTGTCGTGCTGACAACTTGATTCTAAATGGGTCTCTACCTATATTTTTCTGATGAAAGAAACTGCTTTCTGGGTAGAGATGACTATAATTCTGCCACTTAACATTATCAATTGCCTGGTCATCATTAATTAGACTTCTCCTGGACACTTGACCCACTAAAGACAATGGTTTCGTCAATGGCCTGTGAATGATTGGCTGTGAAAGCTCTGGCCAAACAATCATGACGGTGTTTAGCCGAGCATGTAATCAAATTCATTCAGGAATGAGCTGTGAGATATAGTTCTTCAGTCAGTAAGAAACAGGAGCAAAATTTAAAAGAATCAGAGAGAGAAGCAATAAAGTGGTAGAGTATAGAAGGTGTATTGTCATGGGTGACTCATTTTTGAGAGTCATACAGAACCAATGGTTGTTAAAGCACGAAATGATTCCAACAGTAAGAATCTGTTAAAAAAATAGTTGGGGATGGAACAGCTATTGCTCCTGAGAGCATGACAGGACAAGTCAGTCTGGAGACTCATTGAATCCTTCCATGCAACAAAGTATGTGGAAGGCCTGGGAGGCTGCCTGCCTTGCTGTTCTGAAAACCCCATGAACTGTGTTTCTGCCTTACTATCGAGTGTGTCTTACTATAAACCCATTACTTAGGGCAGCTTGATTTAGTTGCTGGTCTACCTACTGAACTGTATTCTACCGTTGGCGGTGGGGGAGGAGGAGAGGGGCTGAATCTTATCTTTATAGTCACCCTATTATTGAGCAGTGCCTTTTAGATAGAATTTTCCTCTAAGTTGGCAGTTTAATAAGAATACACAAAATAGCTGGGTGAGTTATTTGATGTGACAAATTACATGTTACTAGAGGGTCTCCCTCTCCTATTCCAATTACATGGGGATAGAGAAACACTTCAATGAGACTCAGAAATACTTTCAAGAGAGCTTGTCTTATATTTTGGACTTTCTTTGGAATCATCATTTTGAGGGTTCATTGTGGCTAACTTTAAACTCTAAATGAGGTTCCTAAATTAATATACAGATTATTTTGTTACCATTATATCCCAGTAAAATTCAACTTTCCTTATTTAAAAAATATTAATATTCATTCATTAGCCTCTTTATAGTTGTTTTTTATTCAGTCCTTGTAATAATCCTGCAGGATCAGCATAATTTCCCCCATTTGAGGACTAAACTCTGGAATAAACAGAGTAAAAACAGAAACAGAAAGATAATAAAGCTTTTTCTGTGGGACCACACTTTGTCTGAGCAGCTGAGTCATTGGTGCTGCCTGCACCATGGCATGTGGGTGGGATATGCGGAGCAAAATTCCTGGCTGAAGACTTGAATCTTTCACTTTATTTTTACCTGCCTCTTGCTCCCTAATTTATTGTTATTATTTACTATTTCTTCAGTCCATTCCCTTTACCTCTCTTTACTTCTTGTTTCAACCTTGTACTCAGTCTACAAAGCATCACAGGATATGAATCCATCTAGTCTTTTTAAATTATCATTTTATTGATTGATTTTAGAGAGAGAGAGAAGAAGGGAGAGAGAGAGAGAGAGAGAGAGAGAGAGAGAGAGAGAGAGAGAAAGAGAGAGAAACATCAATTTGTTGTTCTACTTTATTTATGTATTCACTGATTGACTGTTACATGTGCCATGACCAAGGATTAAACCCACAACCTTGGCATATAGAGATGATGCTCTAATCAACTTAGCTACACTTCCAGGGTTCCATCAATTCTTTGTAATCAACCCTTCGCATTTAGTGCCGTGATATCACAGTCCCCTTATTACAAGGAAGCAATTTATTAACTCACTACAGGCCAGGTGCATGAAAATTTGTGCGCTCCGGGGAGTCCCTCAGCCCAGCCTGCACCTTCTCACAGTTCAGGACACCTCAGGGGATGCCCACCTGCCAGCTTAGGCCTGCTCCCTGGGGGATTGGGCCTAAGCTGGCAGTCAGACATCCCTCTGGGAGCCTGGGAGCCCTTGGGGGATGTCCACCTGCCAGCTTAGGCCCACTCCCCACAGTCAGACATCCTTATTGCTGCCGAGGAGGTGGGAGAAGCTCCCACCACCGCTGCTGCACTTGCAGCTGTCAGCCCAGCTTGTGGCTGAGTAGAGCTCCCCCTGTAGGAGCATATTGACCACCAGGGGGTAGCTCCTGCATTGAGCATCTGTCCCTGGTGGTCAGTGTGCATCATAGTGACCTGTCATTCCCAGTTGTTCCACCATTAGGAACATATTACCCTTTTTTTCATATATAGGATAATAACTGCTGCTTAATTCTGCATTGAACCCACCAGCTAAGAAAATTAGTGCTTTGTAAACCATAATTTTATGCTTTGTTTAAGTTGACCTTTGCAAATAAATTGACATGCTGTTATTTTGAAATAAATTCAAATCAAGTTAAACAGAACTCCAAGCTTATGTTTTACATTTTTAGTACTAATTTTATGAAGAAGGTGGAAATATATACAGATGGTCTCAGGCAAGTCACCTAACCTTTTTGTGTTGCAATGTTATATAAAACTAAGTTAAATATTACTTTCTTCAGAGAATCATGATTAAAATAAAATAAAATTAGTGAAGTACTTTATAAGAAGATAAAATATATTCTTGTAATATATTTCAATATTAATACTTTGTGATGAAAATTGCCACTTTACCCTCAACTTAGCTTCTGCAATTTTATAAATCTTATTTTCACAATTTTATTTAGACAGCTAAAACTTCATAGCTAAAAAAATTATGATCATAACAATTGTTTCTATGCAGTTTGGAACTCAGGATCTTCTAGTCACCCATGGGTCTAAAGTTAAATAGTTAACTAGATGATATGAGTACCCTGTGGTTAATCTTTACAGCGTTTAAGGTATCACGCCTGAACTGAGCAAATTGCACATGTGGGTTCAAAGTTTAGAAACTGCTAAGCAAATTATAAAATGTGTAGCTTTTCATTGGGAAAGAGGGAAAGAAAATGTTATTTATTTATTTTTAATTGAATATATTGGGGTTACATTGGCTAATGACATTATATAAGTTTAAGGTGTACAATTCTATAATACATCATCTGTACATTGTATTGTGTGCTCACCACCCCAAGTCATGTCTCTTTCTGTCACCATTTATTCCTCTTTTACCCTCTCCTGCCTCCCCCAACCCCCATTTTCTCCTGGTAATGACTGTACTGTTGTCTGTCTATGAGGATTTGTTTGTTTTTTTGTTGCTGTTCTCTTTTTTCTTTTAATCTTTATTGTTGAAAGTATTAGATAGGTCCCCCTGGGGGGAAGTGTTATTTAATATATGTTCATAGAGCAACAGTCTTTAGTCCTATCACTGTTTGAGAAATGAATGACATCACTGTCACAAGTGCATATTTCATATCTAAGATTATATTACTTACATGCTGATCTTCACGTTAATAAGATTAATGCATTTACTCCAATTTACTACTTAAATAACACCCCACCTTTTTAAAAATAAAAGCAAGAATGAAAAATATACAAACTAAAGAAACTTCTTGCTATGTAGAAAAAATGTATCAACTTTCTATTCTTAGGCAAATATTTCATAAAACGAAACAGAAGCAGCCTGTTTAAAAATAGACATTTTCACTTCTCTAAATAAATATTTAATGACTAAAGTACCACAAGACAACTACAGAGTTAGCAGAAAACGAAGGACTTACAACTTATTGAATGAATTTTGATCTAATTTTGCCATTTAAACTTAAGTAGCTAGAGGAGTAACTTTAATTAATCATAAGTAATAATATTTTAGTACGTGAATTCAGTGAACTATTGACATGAATTCTTTTTCACTACATTGGTAAAGATCTCTTCATTTGACACAAAATTTTACAAACTGTAGAAATGATCTCTGGAATTTTAAAGGAACAGCCATTAGGGAATTCCACGACTTATATGAATATAATTTAGAGGGGGGAAAAGGAAGAAGAACCTGGCAAAAGAAGCTTCTAAAGCATCATGACAATGATATTAGCAGAGAAAATATCCGTTTGGAAAAATCACTGAATATATATTTGTGTACAAAGTCTATACCAGTGTCTCAATGCTTACCGGCAATCTGATGGGGTTTGTTCACAGCTCCCGGTGTGTTTTAAACACACACACCAAACAAAGCTCTTAAGAGTTCCTTACAGACTTCTAGACCAGACCTCAGAGCGAGAAATTCAAGGCACTTCTGCTCAGACTCCACCTTGTGGGGAATTTGTGAGCTTATTTTAGTTCCACCCCATCAAAGCGATTGTAAATCTCCAGTCACAGACAAACACGTAAGCAAAATGCTGCTTTTGCTTTCTGTTTCAAATACTAGGAGTTCTGCCCTGGACACTTTCCTAAAAGCAGCTCTGCCCTTTAGACTTCAGCAAACACTTCCTTGCCCTCAAACTATACAGATCTCTGGGCCTGTGAGTTATATCCTATCCTAATATATATAAAAAGCTAGGTGCCATCATGACCGAACAGGCAATTGTCACCATGAAGTGCATGGAGCACCTCTCGGTCCCCCACCTCCCATGGCTCCCAAGCTGGTCACCATGAGGGGGTGGCTAGCGGCGGGGTGGGACTGGGGACTGTTGAGCGGCAGTGGAGGGCTGCTTCACGGGGTGGCTGTGAGATTAGCGGAGCAGTCACCCAGATGGCAGCAAGTTTCGGGAAGCAGTCTTGGGACTATGGAGTTTCGTGGAGCAGTCGCAAGGTGCGGGGAAGGGGGAGTTTTGTGGAGCGTCCAGTGGCAAGCTCCGTGGGGTGGCAGCAAGCTTTGCGAACAGCCGAGGGGCAGGGGGAGCCTTGCAGAGCAGTTGTGGGGTTCTCGAAGTGTCCTGGGGCGGGGAGCTTCATGTAGCATCGCAAGGTGGCAAAGGCCATGCAACCGAGGCCAGGCTAGGCCTAGGGACCCTAACTGCACACGATTTCATGTGCACTGGGCCTCTATTATTTATTAGTAATAAATAATAAGTAGGGTATCCTCATTTGTGTGTGAGCTGAACTAAGGAGTTTGGCCAGGAGCCAAATCCCAAAATTTGCATCCCTTCCTTGCTTTAGGCTTTGGTAGATTAAGCACTAGAGAAAATTTCTTTCCAAACTCTGCAGATAAGGGAACTTGGACTTTTGAAGCAGAAACCCACTGTTAAATGCATCGTGAGCTTCCATGTTGAAGGCAGCGTTTGACATTTAATGGATAAACATTTTAGTCAAACATTTAAAATAGGTTCTAAATATACTTTATTGCCAGTGTGTGTGTGTGTGTGTGTGTGTGTGTGTGTGTGTGTTTTAGAAACTCCTAGATCATAAATCTGGACAGTCAACAAGACAATCAAGGAAGAAAAAGAGTTTTAAATCATGTTGAAAGTGTTAGGGGCAGAAATAGAATATTGGGGACTAGCTGTAGTTATGGGAAATATTAATCATGCTCCGTTAACCATGACTGCCTTGTGTTTGTTAAAGAAAGGACATTCTAACCTGGCTGGGAATTATATGCCCTCAGAACCTGGGAGTCAACCTTCGAATGTTGTCCTTTCTCATTCAAGAACTGCCTATTACCATGGAAAGATTAGCAACCTTGTTGTCCAAAAAATGGAGTCTCACCCCAGCCCGAATTGCCTACTTCCCCACTCCTGTAATCCCTGCTTCCCCTGTGTCATTCTTGTTCTACCCTAATTAAGCAGCTGGCTTATGGGTGGCTGCAGAGCAGATTTTTGTGGATGACCTGCTGCTCCACCACACTGTCAGCAGTATTGGAATAACTGCTCATATATGACTCAACCCTGTCTGCTTAATTGGCTTAAATAGTGACAGGCAGCACAGACCCATTGATTATCCAGCTACAAAAGTTGCCTAAGAAACTTTGATCTTTTGATGAATGCCCTTTTAGTTATAAAAACCACGATCAAAGAGTTTCAGAATTAAGAACAAAGATAGAAAGTAAACCTGCATAATTGAATCACTTGTACACCTAAGCCTTGTTGAGCTCCTACAACACACCAGGTAAAACAATTTTTTATTCAATCATATATATCGTATGTTTGCTATATAACCCTGGACAATCCAACTAACTCATGCTAAGGCTCAGTACCACACCTTACAAAAGGACACATGAAAGTACCTTTCCTCACAATATTACTAATATACACTGAGTGGCCAGATTATTATTACTATCTGATGTTTGTAGGCAAATTATCCATACACTAGAGGCCCGGCCTGTGCCCTCTCGCAGTCTGGGACCCCTCGGGAGATAAGGACCTGCTGGCTTAGGCCTGCTCCCGGGTGGCAGAGGGCAGGCCCAATCCCTAGGTGCAGCCCCTGGTCAGGCTCAGAGCAGGGCCGATTGGGGAGTTGGGGCGCCGCCCCCTGTCATGCACAGAGCAGGGCGGATCCGGAGGTTGCGATGCCACCCTCAGTCACGCTCAGGGTAGGGCTGATTGGGGGGTTGGGGCACTGCCCCCTGTCACACTCAAGGCAGGGTTGATGGGGAGGTTGCGGCACCACCCCCTGTCACACACAGAGCAGGACCGATCAGGGGGTTGAGGAGCTCCCCCCTGTCACTCACAGAGCAGGATCGATAGGGGAGTTGGGGCACCGCCCCCTGTCACACACAGAGCAGGGCGGATCAGGAGGTTGGGGTGCTGCACCCTGTCACATTCAGGGCAGGGCCAATGGGGAGGTTATGGCTCTACCCCATCACACACAGAGCAAGGCCTGTGGAGGGGGGTTGGGGCGCCACCCTCTATCACCCACAGAGCAGGGCCGATCAGGGGATTGGGGCGCCGCCACTGTCACACTCGGGGCAGGGCCGATGGAGAGGTTATGGCTCTACCCTGTCACACACAGAGCAGGGCCCATGGGGGGGGGGGGGG